TGACTTCAAGATCAGCGGCATTAACGGCCTGCATGTTTGCATGGTATTTGAAGTGCTTGGACATAATCTTCTTAAATTGATTATCAAGTCAAACTACAGAGGAATTCCAAGAAATAACGTTAAACGCGTCATCAGACAAGTTCTCGAAGGTCTCGACTATCTTCATAATAAATGTAAGATGAATGTTTAAGTCATTGATAGCATTGAAATTTACATATATATTTAGTCAGCTTTACGCAATAATTTTAACAGTATCATAAATTTGAAATGGAAAGAAAATCGTTACAATTGTGATTTCAATAAGTTTACGGCTTTATAGTATATGTTGAATTATCTTTCAGGTAAAATTATTCATACAGACATTAAACCTGAGAATGTTCTTGTATGCGTCGATGAGACTTATATACGAAAATTAGCTTGTGAAGCAACAGAATTGCATTCTATGGGAGCGAAGTTACCGGTGTCTCTGATATCTACCGCACCGAAGGAGTTTCAAGAACCGATACCAAATTCCAAAATGTCCAAGAACAAGAAGAAGAAGTTAAAGAAGAAAGCTAAACGCCAGAACGAACTCTTAAAGAAGCAGATGGAGCAAATCGAGGAGTTAGAGGAACAAATTAAACTTGCGAATAGCATGAGAGAAAACGGGGAAATTGAAACGAATAGTCTAGATCAAGATCTCAATACAGAGAGTGTAGAGGACAATACGGAGAGCAAAGGTTCTCCAGATATTTCAGAACCATCCGCGCCTTCCTTACACATGAATGGAGTAGATGGTTTAGCGGGTGGTGAAAAGATACAGAATCCATCGCCCGAACAATCTGAAAAGATGGACAACGTCACTTTGTGCGATGTGGAGAAAAGCTGTGGCGAAGGTGTATTATCACCTGATCCCGATGACACTGACGAATGTAGCGAAGGTAAAAGTAATTTCTATTATCGATCAACGACACAGCAGTCTTTCTTTTTATTTCTTAATGCAGTTTTCTATATCATCCATTATTTTGCTTGTTATAGGTCGTAGATCATTAAATCCACCGGAAAGTAAGCAATTGAAACGAGCATCCATGTCTCCTCTGGATCCTGCTATAATGGACTGTGAAATAGAAGTGAAGATAGCAGATCTCGGGAACGCATGCTGGGTTCATAAAAAATTCACGGACGATATTCAAACTCGTCAGTATAGGTCGCTCGAGGTTCTATTAGGTTCTGGATATGACACCTCTGCCGATATATGGTCGACCGCTTGCATGGCGTTTGAATTGGCGACTGGTGATTATCTTTTTGAACCGCACAATGGCAAAGACTATTGCAGGTAATGATCATAAGATTCAATTGCAATTATATAAAGCTTGTAAAAGTTGAAGCATTGAATCTATTTTTATTAACATTTCAGAGATGAAGATCATTTGGCTCATATTATCGAATTGTTGGGAGAAATACCGAGACGTATCGCTCTCTCGGGGAAGAACTCAAGGATATACTTTAACAGGAAAGGTGAATTAAAGCATATTACTGGATTGAAACCATGGGGTCTATACGAAGTATTAACAGAGAAATACGAGTGGACGCCGAGCGAAGCACGCGAGTTCGCAGAGTTCCTAATACCGATGCTCGAGTTCAATCCGAGCATGCGAGCTACCGCAGCTGAGTGCCTGAAGCATCCGTGGCTGCAAATCAAAAAGTGATCGCGTTTTTTATTGTTTTATCTGTAATATCCCCACAACTTTCACCCCGGTCCTACCGCCCAGTCGCAATCGTAAATCGAGAGTGTGATAGGAAGCCGAAAACACTTGTAAACGTCAGGTGTTATTTCCGTACTGAAAATCATAATTTACTAGCGACTCAATTTGCATACGAAGAGCAAAGTGCGTCGTTTCAAGAGCGCGTACACATACACATATACACACTAGAAAACTGTTTGATATAATATGAATTACAGAAAATTGTAACATACATTGTTATATTAATCATACGTACGCTACAAGCGTGTCTCCGCGTGGGTAATGTTACGAAACTGAAAACGTTTCGAAAAGATTGTTATATACCCTTTACAAATGGTGATTTGACAATATTGCGGAAGTCGCCTCAAGGAAAGTCGCCTCTCGAATGCAGCGAGCGAAGTGTCGCAAAATCCGGATATTGTTAGAGGAAAAGATCTTGCAACATTCCGCTGATTTCCACGTAAAGAAAAAAAAAACGGCCGCGCGCGTGCTTCCTAATGTAACACTCTCAACACATCGGCTGACCATTTGTAGTTGTACACTTGTTAAATCGTGTTTTTAATTAGTGATGAAAGAACTTAAATTAAAAAGAAATTTTTCATAGTACTTTATATATACATTATTTTACACACATTCGTGTCGCATTCTTCGTACTCGTCATTTAATTTATCTATGAATATATTTCAAGAGTCGTGGGATCTACTCGTAATGCGCTGTGAAAATATTGGCGGACTCGGTATCGTGTTTGGTTTAAAATTAGGACTCATTGCCTTGACTCAGTTATCCGTGTGTACTTTTATATATCGCACACACTGGTCGCTGTAAATTCTTGCCAACAAACTCGTAAAGTCGCAACAGGACAGAAATGGCTACTTAATTAATATTTTACGTCTACCTCAATATATATGAGCCGGTTAGAAATACTCATCAACAGATGCACATAACGAGGGACCGCGTTGAAATAAATGTAAATTGAATTAGAGGGGGTCTATATATTGTAGATAATTAAGAGTCGATCACTGGATTCTTGGAATATATAATTTATGCGGGCGCTAATTGAGATAAGACAATATTGCGCATATACGTTCTAGGATTTAATTTTTCATCTAATTTAAAATTTTATATAAAATTTCAGAATATTTTCTTTTTCTATCGTTATTGTCAAGATAACTGAATTTTATTTGGCAGCATATGATAAAACCTTTTTGTAAATGTTATAAAAAATTTATATATACTTTTGTAGAAACAAATGTACATATAAATGACACCAACAAGACTTAACAGCATATCCAATATGAAAATTTATATGCATCTTGCCTTATTTCATTGCGCCCCACAATACTGATATTATAATGAATTTCTGTTTGTTATAAATTTGTTTACGTCGCTAATGCGAATGCCTGTATACATAATGTACAATTACGAAAAGAAAGAGTATCTATATTGCGAGTAGGGTCTTTGCAAACAGGATGAGAGCAGTGGTAACAAGAGTAATGTTTGTTTCATGCAAACTCCTTTACTTTATGAATACTGACTGATTACAAAGCTCTCTGCCGATAATAATTGTCTTCTATTTTATAAACGCTAAAGCGAAGCAGTGCGTTCCACTAGACCGTTTATGTCGCGTATATACTTTCCTCTATGCACGAATTCAATTCATGCTTCCTGCAGAATGTTCTGTTTCGCTTCGCCTGTCAATCTCAAGTTTCACAAAAGGACTCGATCGAACTATGTGGAGATGCGTACGTGGAAATATACATTTCGTCATGATGTACAAATGTCTTGTCGCTTACTGTATTTCTATATTTCTTCCCGGGTAAAAGAGGAAAATACTCTAAAAATGTACAGCATTTTAAGATTTGTTTGAAAACGTAATATGTGTTTTTCATTTCTTTTCATTTAATTAGCAATATGTTTATTTGATCACACGTAAACACTTCAACATGAAATAATGTATAAGACGCAGTTTTTAATTTATTAAAAATTGAGCATTTTTATGAAATATGTTTGCTGATTTTCATTTATATCTTCATTGCCTGTATGCTATTTTATTTTGCAATGAATCAAGTTAATTGAAAAATGAAAAAAGAAAAACGTCCGGTATTTTGAAATTTATAATGTATAAATAAGAGAGATAGATAATACGATACTCAAAAGAGAAAGTGCCTCTTCTACCCGCGCTATAATTAATATCAGATAGAGGAAGAATGCGTTTATAGGCCTTTTTTTATCTCGGCAATACAAAACCTGATGCATTTTAGTTTATAACACGTTATTTCATATTTCGCATTTCCCCTGCAGGAGCTTTTTCGTGAATCTCGTATAGTCTTCAATGACGGCGTTTATGTAATCTGTACAGTATATAGCTAAATTTTAGCGGCTAATATTCGGTACTGTTCTTATGAAATACGGCCAGTGAAATCCATTATTATAAAGGCAGCGATCACGATTCGATTTAATTTTTTCTGTAATATTCTTCGTTACTCATGATAGAGAAGACGCTTTTAATCAAATCAACATCGAGCTATTGCTCGGCCTCGCTTGACTCTTCAGCTCCTGATGCCACTTGTAAAATTTCGGATCTCTCTGTGTAACCGAGGATCGAAATCGATGCAATCTCAGTGAATTTAAGTTTCCAGTTGTTAGAAAATAATAGGCACGCGAAGAATCCTCTATAAATAAGCAAAGTAATTAAATTTATCCTTAATTGTTACGGACATATTAATTAACAAAATAAAAATATTTGATTGTTTAATTATTTCAATATTATTTCTCGAACCAAAGTCGAAAATTATATATCACAAATACGAATCGAGATAATTTTTACGTGTCTTTAGAATAAAATTGAATTCAATAAAATTTATGTACATGCACACACACATTATATATATATATATATCCAATCGGTTTCTATCTTCGATTAAGAAATTATGGAGAGATCGATCGAAGCATGCAACTAGAGAATTTGCTTCCGTCGATTTAATTATCAATAATCGATCGTTGACTAGACCTAATGATTTTATTAGACGAGTCAGCGTAGGCATCGAAATCGCGTCCCAATCGTCATTAGATCAATCGAAGCTCAAATACCGTGTTGCCAGCGGCTTTTGCGGCTTCACAAGTCGCGACATCTGATCGTTTGCACTGTCACCATAAATATATCTCATATTAATATATTATATGTATCATACATATATATATATTAATATCTCTATTATATATATATATATATATACTCTATACATAAATATATAAACACATGAAGATATTGAAGCGATAACTTACATAGGTGTGACTCGCTGCTTGGCGTTAGGATATAGTTAGAAGGAATTAATTAATAAATGATAATATAGAGCGAACTGTGTATAGCCCTTGATGTACGAGGTATCCCCATTGACCTTCTTTTCCGACTCACGAGCGGAATAATTTTATTTGTGCGAAGTAGATAGCAAAGAAAGGGAGAGGAAATGAGAGACAAGTAGTCGCAAAGCGCTCCATTTCTTTTCTTTTTTCCCCCCCTTTGCGATGGAGAGATCTTTCGCGCATAATATGTATAAATGTAAGAGATTCGTGGACGTGGAATGATTATGGAGGTATCAGTCGGATGAAAGGGGAGGAAGTGGTATATAAATACAGGGACCCAATATATTGAAATTCACACACCAGGGACTCATGTTCCAATCGGTAGATTCTAAACGTTGTTCCGAGCGAAACAGATATGTTCAATCGGGTATATTAATCGCGCTCGAGAAGATCCTCGAGTGTCGGTCTGACGCGATACACCAATATTTAAATTATAATATTATACTTTGGAATCGGAGCAGTCGATATCATATCGCGGCTTAGAAATAATAAATTCCCGCATGACAGATTACGGTTGTAATCTCACGCACGTGCGCTTCTCAGATAAACTTTCGACATTCCTTTTCTCGTGCAGACCGAGCCGCGAAATATGATACCGATTGCCTCCTCGTTCTGAATATGATAATTGCGTATAATACGCAATAACTTGTACGACGTTAAACGTATAGCGGAACTGCATTGTGCGAGTCGTTGGTCGTTCCTTAATTATAATCATTACTGAAATGTAAACCGTTGCGGGAATCCGCTTCTATTCAATCTTCAAAGGACGACGAAGTGTGTCACGACATTAAAATGCGAATGCGAGGAATGTGGCCTTGATCGAGGAGTGAAAAATTACGTCGACGATAAGTTACGTGCGCATTGTCGAAGGGATTTTATCGTGCGGTCTCCTCTTTGTAATCTTAAGATATTGGAATTGTTGGGGAGAACGCGAGCAATGGACATTTTTTTTGATGGAAGAATGCTTTGCTATCAAACACCAAGTTTTATTACATGTAAGTCACAATGCGCGCGAGATACTGTAAATATTGCGGGTAAACCCGGTGCGGGGTTTTGCACATTTTTAGAAGAGCGTTCGCATATTTAGGCGATCGATCATTTGGCGATTAAACCGCGGAGGGGTTGGCAGAGACCTTTCTGAACGAGTCACGACATTAAAATGTACAGCGATTATATGTCAGAACCAGATAGAATCTGAGGAGATAATGGATTGTACGCGCGCGAGAGCGAGGACGAAAAAGGGAGATGGTAAAGAAAGGGAGACGCGAAATTGTGTGGCGTACGATAATATTATTATTATCTCACTGATTGGTACATAGTCATACTGGTCTCGTAGCGTTATAGAGAGCCATTTAAACTCTGCATGCTTAGCCAATTTGCGATCGCCGGCAGGTCCACGAGGTCCCGCTGCGCGACGGACGTTTTAATAAGGGTGTAAAACTATCGATAGAGGCGCGTGTAGGCGTCCGCGATACGTGACGATCATCTTTAGAAGTTCATCGAGCCGACAAAAACGGGACATGCAAGTTACAGCGAATTGAACCCGGACGATGCGTCGCGAGAAAAACGACTGGAGCAACGGGACAGAGAAAGCAGAAACGGCGATGTTGTTGTCGTGCTTCTCTTCTAGACAATATCCCAGATTAGCTCGATAAAAATATGTCCTTTGTACCGGCTGGATGATCGAATCCTCTCGCGAGAGGACCGGAGAGAACGCTTGATTGGCTAATTAATCCACCTGACCGCGTCACATATCTGGGAGATGCGGAGGAACGGGAGACGTCACTCGGGGCACGCGTCGTCATTGGGTTTTTCTGCAAATAATAAGCGAATTAATTTCGGAATTTCGCATCTTTAAGCGCGTTCCGTTCGGCATTTAATTACAAGATTATGTTTGTGATGGAGTGAGGAAAGATTCGTACTCGCTTTCGACTTGTTTCGTGGAACCATTCCTTTCCTAGTTGGGATAATCCATCGCATTTTACGTAGCAAATACCTATAAATTTCTCCTGATCGTTTTTCCAACTGAAACTTTTTCTTCTACACTGATGAATATTCGAAGATACGTTAAATCATCGTTCATGCGAGCGTATCGTACAATCAAAGCGCACTCTTCCCTTCGGATATCTTTAGTGAATCACGACGCTTATGGAAAGGCTCAAGAGAGAGGAAAACAGAAATACCTAATATAATCATCGCAAATCTGTTGTACGCTAACGTCTCGTGCTCCAGTCACTCGATGTAACGACCGTGCGAAGCGTTAAAAACTCTAGAGCATAATAAAATAGCCATAACGAATCGAACGAATAAATGGATTTGATGTTTAGACGCTGCCTCCGTTATGTGCCCTGCCGTAAAGAATAAAAAAAAATAACAGACAACCATGTACCCTCCCCTACCCCCATCTGAGAGAGAACGATATATATAACATGGAAAATAAATTCGCAACAAAATAAATTGGTTCTCTTTTTTTCCACTTGTCATCCGTCATTTAAGGTAGAAAAGCAACAGCTTGAAGTCTTGCTTTACGTGAGTTTATTATTATATATGTATATCACAAATTATATCACCTTTATTGTCCCTCGATGTGACTACGATCGTACAAAGTGTAATGTACAATATGTTCACGTTTTTTTTAATATATATACGCATCTTTCGAATATTGGACGAAGAGAATGAGAGAATACTTGAACGAAATTTGTTCCGCAATTCTGTGAATATACTTCCCCGCTTGTATATCATTAGTTACAGAATGAACTTATATTGCCTGCCAAATGTAATCGGTTATATTTCACATGATTATTCTTAACAGTAGAACGTAGGATATACTCGCATATTTTCCGCCAGCTGGTTTCTAACTACGAAATTCAGCTGGGTTAACGCTCGACCTAAAGGAAGAAGATAACACATTCCTCCCACGAATGATATGATACGAAACACGTGCTGGTAACTATTCACATGATATACGTATTTCCTCTTCACAATAATATCGTCGCAGGTAATATATATTAATAGGAAACGGATCCTTTTAATTTTAATTTCTTACATTTTCTCTGTTCATTCAAATTAAATACTTTCAATGCTACAATATTTTGGCGAGGTCAAATATATAATTAATTTTATATCATAAATACTAACAAATACTGGCATAAACACTGTACTAATATAGATAACAATGCATTTTTTTTACAAAAGTAAAATTTTGTGAAAGAGATAATAAGAATAGAGGCTGTTGTAAATTATTTCAATCAATTTACCATTAATTTTATCAAGTTCTTTTCGAATAGCTTATCAGTTATTGAAATAACTAATAAGCTATTAATATATAATCATATAATCGTATGATTGATAAATAATATTAAATAAATGTAAAATATACAACATTACTATCGTCACATTACGTGACAGACTTCGTTGTTTCCTGGTTATTATAATTTTACTTTCATATACAATTTAATTTTAGAATAATTACAAATATGCACAACAAGATTAACATAAATAGAAATCTGTTATTTGTACATATCTCTAATGTTAACGAAAATATCAGATCACATAGTCTCTAAATATAGTCTAAACAATCTTCATTAATTCAACAAGTATTATTCGATATTATTCGATTAAAGAATTACACATGGAATAAGAGATTAATATAATCCACAGGAGAAAATATATTTATGGGAATAAGTTGGACTTTAATCAGACCAATCCTCCTCAGCTCTGCAAATTAATAGTACTTTGTTAATATTTTACGATCTTGCTGAAATCAATTTACTGCCCATCACCGTTGCCAAGCTGCTTTTGAATAAGGCAAGCATATTGGACAATACACTGTTGTTCACTATATAAGCAATAATATAACAATGTTTGTAATTATACAGATACGTGTAAATATTAGGCGGAAACAAATAAATTATAAAAATATGATATACAAGGGACAATTATTAACATCTTAGAAAAATTTCACTCATATTATAGCTGTATAGAATTGGCTGTGCAAACTGACTGTTCCACTACTCTTTCTCTTTCCATATAGTTGTCCACAAATTATAGAAATAATTAGCGAATTATATGAAATAACTTTCCATATGCCATTCAAATATCTTAATAAGTGCATTAATAAAACGTTATGTAATAATATTAAGCAATAAGCGAATTTAAAGTTAAAGAGAAATTCTGTACTAATTTTAAATAGAAAAAATCTTGAAAGCTCTCTCAGTTCATTAGAATAGAGTAATGTTTGCAGCTTTGATGAAAACAAATTCTCATTCTTGTGAAAATATTTATACTGTTATCATAGATTTAATAGTAGTATTAATAAATATTTATATATACACCCATTTACAGGCAATATAATTTAAAAGCACATAGTTCAGCACACTTAAGGACACACCATATACACACGCACACAAAATAAATTAAATACTTAATATAGACCCGTGTCTAGGACGTCCGTTCTTCTCCTTCCCGCGCGGTTGTTCCTTAGCTGTTCCAGTGATATTCAAATTCAATTGTGCGGTTGATGCCGTAGTCGCTTCGTCATCCGATTCTATTGGACTGATTCTGATTGCTTGGTACCATTGATTCGTCAAATCTGTCATCTGTGATTTACAGTCCTTCAACTCTTGCTGTGTGAATCGTCTCGTGAAGAACGGAATGAAAAATTTCAGATCCCATCTTGCGAAACCACGAATTCGCGATTGCAAGAAGGATACTTCCATTTCCTCCTCCGTAAGTTCTGATAAGTGCTCAGAATCAATGGTTTGCCCCTAGATAGAAAAATAATGTATTATCTATACACAAAGATTTTATATATTAATTATTTGTACCGTAAGATTTTTTGAATTACCCATTCTCTCGTTTTACTCAATGTAACTTCCTTATCCTTTTTTTTCCGCCTACTGTTATTTTTCTGCTTCTTTTCGGCCCTTAAGAATTTCAAGAGAGGCATAGTGGATCCACCAAATATTAAAGTCGTGAACAATACGATGATAAGTGTCGTTGTTATAATAACGTGGCGCGTTTCATCGCTGAAATCTAAATGGAGCGACAATGCGTACGAAATAGCACCGCGCAGGCCGCTAAACCACATGATGAACATCATCTTCCTCGTGATTTGATGTTCGCGGAAACGATTAACGAGTAAGGCCAATGGAAAAATATTGGCAGCTCTTCCAATCAGGCACAAGATCACAGACCAAACGACCAATGCTGGCTCAAACTATTTAAAAAAAAAAAAGAAAATTGAATTAAAAGCCATTTAAGGACTATTCGAATATATTATACCATATTCTTATTATACGATACCCTATGTCTAAAGCTGAACAATGCTAATCCCAAGTATGCAAAAACGCAGGTCTCGGCAATGAATGCTAAAGTTCGCATTGTCTGCTGCATTGTAATCTGCGTAACAGTTGACAAATTGAAATGTGTGTAGTGCGACATGACTATCCCATTGAATAGAATCGCCATAATTCCTGCAACAATGGATTAGTATACAGTAAATAAAGAATAGCAGTCATACAATAAAGAAATTCTCTATATAATTATTACAAATGTTTACCTGACAGTTGTATGCCTTCTGCTAAAACATATGGAGCGTACGTAAACACTAACATTATGCCAAACTCCAAAGATGGATTTTTCCTGAGGTCTACATGCTTCAACAGTAACGCGCTTATTAAAGCAAATACCACGCCAATACCCGCAGATGCAAAGAACATGAGGCAAAATCGATTCAGACCAAGTATGATAGCCTCGCTGGTCGTCGCCGCGTTGTTAGACTCTAGGACGGAGGTGGTCAATACGATAGAAATAGCATCGTTCAGAATTGATTCTCCAAAGACTAACATGTTCAGGACTGGATCAACGTCCAGAGCGTGAAAGATCGCAACTGTGGCGACCGGATCTACCGCTGATATTAACGACCCAAAGGCGAAGCTCTCAACGAAGCTAAGCTTGTATGCCACTTTTGCCAAACCCAGAAGATATATTCCAGCGCCGATGACGAATGCAGAGATGGCTGTTCCGAAGATGGCAAATACCATGATACTGCCGATATTTTGGAAGAAGTTTCCCTTGTGCAGATTATATCCTGATTCAAAGATGATGGGTGGAAGTAAGACTAGGAAAAATGCGGTCGGCGAGAAGGCTTCTTCTTTCCTCCAGTTTGCAATATTCTGATGTGACATGAGGTTTATGATCATGCCAATCGCAGCGCCTAGAAAAACGATCACCACCGACTCGGGAAGGTACTGGAAATTAGTCTGCAGCATCAGATGTATTAACAATATGCCTAGCGCTAGGACGCACAATACAAAGAATATAGACATGGAGCTGTTGTGCTCCTCTTCAGCAGAGCCCTTATCAGGCAGGACCGGCTCTGCTGGAGCGGCTGTGGTCGTGGTGGCATTGGTTGAATTAACAGCATCTGGACTCTGCGATGGCACAGGGATATCCGTTGTGTTTCTGTCGTTAATGGGACTTGGTGGTGTGGCACTACTCTCGGTCGTCTGGTCGCTTGCGACATTGTCAGGTTGCGCCGTGCTTGCGGATAGTGGTGGTGGCGGTTTCGTAGTGGTTGAACTAGCATTGTAACTGACAATGTAGCTTGTACTGTTCGCAGGTCGCGCTGTGCTAGATATTTCAAGTGGTACGTTCACGTTTGTTGTGACATACGGAATGACTGGAGCGTTCGTCACAGTAAACGTGGTCTTGTTCTCGGTGATGATCCCGCTTGTATTTAGGTTAGTTGTGTCCTCGCCGTATGACACATGTCGCGATATATCGCAGAGCAGCAAGATCACGACGACGAGGCTCCACCTGCACGATAGTACGGAACGTGGTCGAAATTGCATTTCTCAACGGTGTACCATTATCTTGCAGGTAGCAGAAGACGGCTTTGCAGCTTTCTCTCTTTTTCTCTTTTATGTCAATGTTTTGTTAGAACTTGGTAAAGTTGTGAGAATTCTGACGTGTGACTAGTGAATTAGAATGTTCAAGATTACAGCTGACTCAGCCGTCAGTCTTTACAGATATAAAAAAATTCCCTAGATATTATTATTATTATTTATAATATTTATACAAAATTGCTTGTGTGTTACATAAAATAATTTTTGAAATTAATAATAATCTTTTATTAACAGAAATATATATAAATTATGCCTTTTTGTATTTTTGGTTATGCTCTGTATCTTGGAACATTGCTAACCGGAAATAATAGTTACTTTTTTATCTTTACCTTGATTTTTTAATATTATACTTCGTTGATAAAATGTAAAATAAAAGGAATGATGTTAGAAACAAAGTTATGATTATAAAATTGAAATACTTGGAGTTTTTATTGCCACCCTACTTATTCTATTAATTACTAAACCATTATGCCATTGATTATATTCTCCAGATACTTGAATGGATCAGTTTTAAAACATTTTTGCGGTTCAAACGCGTAGACTAAACATTTTTTAAATCGCTGTTCTCTCACATTTTTTTCGGTGTATTAATTCTTATTTAATATCCTTTTCATTCCTTATCGATTTTTTGAAAATTTCAATTTTCAAAGTTACGACTTAAAATTATAGAAATTCTTGGACTTATCATTTTTTGATAGTTTAATTGATGTCACTTATTTGATTATACCTTTTGATACTTCGCTAAATTTTGAAAATTTAAATTCCACGATACGAAAAACTTTAGGAAAAAAGAATGGATGAAAATTTTCTACACGTAGAAGTATATTTATTCCACTTGTGTGTTATGATTATCTGTTTTTAACGTTTCATTCGTATACTCCCATGCTAATCCGATGCGACCAGTTTCTGCTGGTTGTACAGGATCTTCACCTAATCTTTGTTCGACACCTTTCCAAGATCTTTCTTGTAAATATTGAGCTCCAGCCTTACCAATAGCAACAGTACCTAATAAAAGAATTGCTATATAATAATTGTTGCAGTCTACATAAAATCACTTTAAATTATTAAATTACTTGCACAGAAAATATTAATGTATAAAAAATGTAATCCTTAAAAAAAATTTTTTAGTAAAAGTAATTATAAAATGTGAAAAAAAAAACATTTCTTTGATCTGCCAGAAATTAATTAATGTGTGGCCAAAGATAATTTCTTATTAAAAATGTGATTTCAAGATTGCAGTTTTTATTATATCTTATTAATTTCTTAAAATTTCTTTTCATTTAAATAAATTGGATATACCTGATGAACGAACTGTCAGAGCATTCATTTGATCGGTACATAAAGTATCATTCTCGCAATTTCTAATGTTACTAGTAATGAGAGAGACATCCAAATCCATTGATGGTTTAAAGTCGATGTAGTGAGAACCACCAGGTAATATCTGCCGAAAGTCCATAAAATATTGTGGAGAAAATTCTCTCGCACTGTTAAATGCTAATTCAACTTCGTACACCGTAAGTATAGGTTTAAAAAAGTCTCTTGAGTCGAATACTTCATTCTCTGGACAAGCTATCACAACAAAAGCATCAACCTGAAATAAAAGTCAAGTATTCGTTGACCAAATTGCACAGTAAGATTAAATTGAATTCAACATATTTAATTATATTACATATAGCTAACGTACCTCCGTAAAATTTGCAAGCTTGGCAGGATTTATTTTTCCTACACTAAGAAGATAAGACTTTTTATTCTTTTGTTTGAGTATTCTTTTTACTGTGTTTATAGCTGTTAAATATTCTTGAATGCCCAATGTGGCCACTACAATTCCCACAACTTTGGCATCTCTCAACTTTTCTATTAAGAATCTTCTTCGTTTTAACCAAGGTGTATTCAATGCTTCAAACTCGGTAATTTTACGATTTGTAGAACAATACCACCTCTTCACAGGTATACTCATCGCTAATAACGCAAAAGTTTTTTCTTTCTCGCCCAAAAAGAATCCTTCATAATCTTGTATTTTATATCCATTTTCTAAAGTATAATTTCTACCTAAGACAATTGAGGCCGGGCTTGTTTTTATATCAGTATATTCCACGTTTGATGTACAATTTAATTTAGACAAAATTAAGTGTTTATATATAGGTTTCAATATATTATATATATATTCTGTAATCATACAATTTGCATTATATCTCCACCTTCATCGTCATCGCCAGTTTTCTCTATTTCTAACAATATTTTAAATATTTACCAATTTTATGTGCATATGCCACATCATAAAAAAATACAATCTTCTTTGTGCAATCAGAAAAGATTTGCTTAAACTCGTCAGTGAATTCCGTCGTGTCCAATTGGTTTCTCGGCAAAACGTGAAAAATCGGTAAACGAGCAGTGGGATTAAGGCAAGCGTGTCCAAAGTGTATTATGCCATCTGCGTCAACGTGTTGCGCTGTTATCTCGTCGACGCAACAGCTACCACAAGTTGTGTCCCCTAAAATATACACTTTCTGCCCTACTTCTTTTTCTAAGCGTAGCGCAACTTCTACCGAATTTGGTAATAAGTTGTCTGGAAACTGTAGACATACCTATAATATACGAGAGAGCATTACAACTCCAAAAAGATATTTAATTAATAATAGAATTCTACATATAGGTATATAGAATTCTAATAAGTTATACATATAATTACATATAACAAAAATTATCTAGCCACTAGATAATGTGCTATACAACTGTTTACATCAAATATATGTATTAGATAATTTAAGTGTTCTGTTTTTTATGGCTAAAGTACACATTTTTTAAACTTAAAGCGAAATAGATATACGTTTAATAGGTATTTGGCTAAAGTGAGAAAAAAGTCTAGCCCAGTCTATTGAAAAATAAAAAACAGACCAGTAGACTTGCAAACGTTTGCAATTAACTTAACTTAACCTAATCTGATCTACCATCAATATATAATAAATATCTTCAGCAATGTGATCAACATTATCATTATTGTTATGGTTTCTTCTCCATCCAATATTTTCGTAACAAATATATAATGAAACATCTCTAGAAAAGAGATTGTTTTTAACAAATTGACACATAACCTCAACTTTATCTTTATTCATGAAAAAAAACGATGCTAAATCTTTTAGAGGGACCTGCAGCTATACTATCCTACAGTATTATACATTAGTATATATACGAGGCATTTTTAAAAACGTGTGTATCCTTTAAACCTGTTTTAAGGCATTCGTCCGGATCCAACGAGCACATTTCTCCACATCATATGGATCGTCCTGATCGTCTGTCACCTCGATGACTTCCGCCTCGTCCTTCGCAGATTTTTCGATCTTCGCCAACGAGATCATGTCGTGGAGTCCACGAGCATTCGGCGCGGAGATTTGTTTACGATTGCTACAGGCATACGTGTGTTATTGGAATTCGCATATGGCGGGTCTTCCTTCACGAGCCCCCGCAAACCTGCGCAATTTGCGCGGTAGTCACCTCTTCCTTCCTCATGATTCATTCCATGTAAATTCTTCCCATTTTTTCCGCTGCCGCGGGACAGCAAGATGTATTTTTATAAATAATATAATCTACTTATATATGAATGCCCGAAGGACAGAAGAAAGGATTGATCTATTATTTCTGTTGCATTCTTTCGCGTTTCTTCTGTTCAGAAGACAGAATATTGTATATGCATTTTGAAATGGAGAAACGAAGATGTCTCGCAGAACAAACACTTGAGATCTTACCTCTATTAATAATTTTTTCGCCTTTATGTTCTCGAACAATGCGCTGATTATTATTCGATTTCGAAGCACAATTTTATGACAAAACTAGAAATATATATATTAAATTAATGCAACCGTTTAATATTATAGAAGCTAAGAGACAATAGAAATTTATTGGAAAAAAATATTGACGGAAAATATTAAAAAATATTTGTGTTTAAAGATAGTCATTAAAAAATTTTTTCATTGAAAAATATAGTCGAAAAAATAATTATCAACTATGAATATTGCTTTGCTTATTTTACGGTATCATATCTTGAAATCTCTTCTTAAAGCATTATGAATAAAACATCGTTATTTTTTCTGATGTTAATGAAAAACTTCTTATAAGGATGCTTATTAGCTAAAAATTATTAAAATACTTATTAATTTAATGTGACATTACTACTCTGATTCTATTCATGATTACGTTTCAAAACCAAAAAAGATTTTAATACTCATCAGTCTATTTCCTCCAATTATAAAAAATATTGTTTTAATATCGCGCTACTCGGTTTTATAGAAGTTATATAATTTATATCCCGTGAGAGACGTGACGAAGCAGGCGATCTAGGCCAGGAAATGAAACGCGAAAATGAATTGCGTCAAATAAATGTATTCGTATAAATCTGCGTGCATAAAAAATATTTAAATGTGATAATAAATAAATACAAGTATAATAATTATAATTTTCATTACTCTTTCGAATTATAAACTTATATCCAATCGTGATTCCTATGTTCCTACGAATTCACAAAATTGCGACGTTTGGTATTTAATTTAATTCTTCTCGTGCAATTTTTCTACGCTGGAAGGAAATTGGATTCTCATCTGAATTATACTGGTGTCGATCCTTGACCTAGGCACTGCTGTTATCCTTAATAAATCCGAAATAAAAAACAAAATCAATCCTCATTATAATGGAGAACGGTCGAGCAAAATAGATGCTTTGTGAAAAGATGAAATGACGAGTTTTTTAAGTACATAGAGCATGAAATTTACGTAGGAAGATCCAAAAGTTTTCGATCCAACTCTCTTCGAGACGTTAAAACTGGATTTGGCTTCGGTCATCAAGCGACTCAACATCTACTGTTATTATATATTCAACCGCATCGCTTTATTTTAAGTAGTGTGGTTTTAATTTTGAATTCTAATCTTAAAATAGACGAGTCGCGTTTGTTAAAATATCAAAATGTTCAAAATAAAGTACTGTGCTGTGATCAAATTCTTGACCAAAGGACTTACACAGTACAGATTAAATAACATTTAGATAGAGTGTATGAGAAT